AAAAAAAAAAACCCCCCACAACACAGACAAAGAACTAGGCGAGCGGGGAGAGTTCATTTAAAATGACAGCTCTGTAATTAGCTGGACCGATTCAACACGGGTTAAACAGACCTTGCAATGCAGATTTACAAAATGATTCCTCTCAGCTATGAACGTCAAAAATAAATTGCCTTTCTTCACGGACTGTTTGGGTTTTGTGCGGGTGTGCGTACTGCTTCATTCAATTTAACAGCAAACAGCAGGGCGGCACAATTGGTTCAGATCTTCAACCTTGCAACCTGAGTCCACACATGCATTAAAACATCACTGTCGGTGTGTCACCTCTTTCCTTGGTTTGGCTTTCTCTGTGGTTTTGGCCTCGCCATAATTCTACAGTGATTCTAAACCTGGAGCGCCAAAAGAAGATGCAGTCCACACCCCACAAATTGCCCAAAATCTCAGCACTTTGGGCATTTTTGATTGGTGACATCAGCTTTTCTCTGCTTTTGTATGTTCTTACTGAAGTGAACAACAAGTTTTGGACTGACACATACAGCTGAACTATTTCAGACTGAACAGTGAGGGGTGGATGGGTATGCTGATATATTATTCTTATCACTGGTAATCCCACCTCTGCACTCTAAATTTATCCTCCACATCCCTCTTCTCATGAGTAAAACATAAGACTTGGAGAGACCTAGATTCGGATACAAAAAGATCTAAAATTCAGATTGCTCTGTGAACTCCACTTCAGTAGGTGTGAGAGGCAGCCCAACTCCTTAGGGGCAAACCACTGCACGACAGCAGTTGGAGAATGACTATTTCCTGCAGAGATCGCACCATTTATAGGTGGAACCCTCGGTCTATTCATAGGTAAGGTTGTGAGTGTCACACACGTCATGGATTCTGTGATGTTCCAGGACCTCCATGGCTTCAGGGTCAGTCCTGGGACTGCTGGCGCAGCAGCTGCTAGAACAGACCAGCAGCCAGCCCCAGAGCCAGTGAACAGCTGACCAGTGGTCCTGGCCACTAGAGGAGGGTCTGGGGTTGG